ATATATATATATATATATATATATATATACTAAAATAAACTACTACTTACTTCTTGTACTACTATTCCTAATTTGTTGCTTTTCACTTATAGCGGGGCTTCAGGGTATGGATCCCCCGCGATAAATGAGGGACTACTGAATATGATTTTTAGAATAGTTATAATAATCCACACAAATAATTAGTTTATTTCCTTAATAATGCAATACATTTTACAAGTCATGGAAGAAAGAACTGAATCATTGAAGGGTACTCGACTTGTTGATCACAACCTTTATATTAAAAACAGTTAAATTTGATCTGGAGTCATTAGTTCTTCTTGAATTCTCCAAAACTTGCCGCATCTGTGCAGTTTTATTTTTATAAACAGTCATCCTGACAAATTAAAAGCATGACACCTTCCCTTCAGTGGGACACTGATCATTTTGGAAAACTGTTATTTAAATAAGGTGATAGCTTAACTATTTTTATTGCAAATGAGTGCACATCTGGGGCTCATCAGATTTTATTTCTTTTGTAGCAGAGCCACCTGGATGTGTTTTTATATTTCCTTCCTTCTCCCTCTCTCGGCAGATCAGGACGGGAACCACAGCGAGCTAACTGGACCATGAAACTCACAACGGCACGCTCCTCATCAGCTCCTTGCTTCGGTCTGAACGTTCTCGGGTGAAAAAAAGCAATCACAGCTCTCCGGCTGGTCACATTCGCTGCAGCCCGTGTTTGAACTCTGTTACCGAGCTGCATGGCTATTTTGTTAAACGCTGACATTTCTGATCAGATGGGCTCGTGATCAACCAGGAGGTGAAAGCGGAGATGTCTACGGAATTTATTGTGGACTCCAAAAACCAAAACAAACAGCAAACCAGTGCTGCTTTCAGATGATTCCTGTTTCATCAAACGCGACACAGTTACTGGATAAAAGCCGCTCTGACCACGTGTAGACTTGCCTGTGATCGTCAGATTGTTACTGAAGGAGCAAACTGCACCCAGGTGGCCCAAAAAAGCCCTAAAGGGAGAAAAGATCACTCATCTCAGCTAAATCAGTAGAAAGAAGAGTTTGTCCCAATTTCACAACTTCAAAAACCACCGTGATTTCCACTCCTCTCTTTCTTGACGTATTAAACTGATTTTTAATTACAATTTGTGTGCTTATGCTGAGATAAACATCACATGGATTGATGGCTTCAGATTAATTATTCTAAGGTTTTAATAGCAAACTTGATTAAAATAAAATCCAAATCTGTTTTTTTTTTCTTCATTCCCTGTGTGCTGATATTTGAAGCTTCGTTGTTATTTGTAGAATTTGTAAGATACTTGTGTAAAAACCTCTGTTGGGTTTGAGTTTAACTGCTGAAATCAAAGTTCAGTCAGGTCATCTGGACGGTTTCTTTTTTTTGCTGAGATGTTTCGTCCTTGGGCAGCACGGTGGCGCAACTGGTAGAGCTGCTGCCTCTCAGTGAGAAGGTCCCTGGTTCAAACCCCGGTCCAGGGGCCCTTCTGGGTGGAGTTTGCATGTTCTCTCCGTGCATGCGTGGGTTTTCTCCGGGTGCTCCGGTTTCCTCCCACAGACCAAAAACATGCATGTTAGGCTGATTGGTAACTCTAAATTGTCCCTAGGTGTGAGTGAGAGTGAATGATTGTTTGTCTCGTTTGTCTCTATGTGGCCCTGTGATGGACTTGCGACCCGTCCAGGGTGTACCCCGCCCCTCGCACAGTGATTGCTGGACATGGGCACCAGCGACCCCCGTGACCCAAAATGGAACAAACGGGTAAAGAAAATGGATGGGATGGATGGATGGATGTTTCGTCCTTCATCCAAAGGACTTCACCCATCCGAGAAGCCACCAAACAAAACTGATTCCAACTAACAGCATACTCCATAGTGGAAAAAAAACTGTTTGTTAGTGCTAAGATGGCCTCCAGGGCCCACCCTCCCCTCCAGGGCCTGCCCTCTCCTCCAAGGCCCGCCCTCTCCTCCGGGGCCTGCCCTCTCCTCCAAGGCCCGCCCTCTCCTCTGGGGCCCGCCCTCTCCTCCGTAGCCCACCCTCTCCTCTGGGGCCCGC